TTACCAACGTGTCTTCCAAAATTGTTTTAATATATTGTGTTCCCATCAGCAATGAATGAGAATTTTTCTTACTGCAAATTTTCCCTACCATATGGAGTTACTTGCCCCTTCGAATAAGTATATAGTGGCATAATATTGCAACTTCAATTTGCATCATCTTTTCATGTMATCTATCTGTCTATCATCTATCATTGATCTTATTTGGTGAGATATCTATTAAGGTTTCTGGTCCACTTCTAAAAAATAGGGCTATTTGTTTATAGTTGAGTTTTAAGAATTCTCTATATATTTTAGAGTCCTTTGTCAGATATATCTTTTGCAGATATTTTCCCCCAGGCTTTATCTCATTTTTTCATTCTCCTAATATTTTTAATTTTTTAAAGTAGAAAATAACCAAATGTTTTGTAATAGTGAAATCAACATAGTAAAATTAAAATCCTTTTAACTAATTAATATAAAAGACTTAATATCACACATTCATTCCAGTAAATAGTAAAGCATTTTCCTATTATGATTTCAAAATAATTAGTTGATTACCAGGTAGAACCCAAAAAAACTAAATGTTGATCCATAACTATTATTTTATTTTTGAAAATTTAAGAATTTTAAATTTTAATTAGTTTGTGCTTTCATAAGTAATATGAAATTGTCATTACTTAAAAATTAAAACTTTGACCACTGCTCCAATCTGATTTCTTTTCTTATTCTCTTCCCCCAAATACAATTGCTATGGTATTGGTTTATATTCTTTAAATCTTTTCTTAAGCACTCACACACATTTATGTGACCAAAGAAAAACCTTAAATATTGTTGTATACTTGTTTTTATTAAACATATATGATATCACTGTATATTTATCATCTTGCCACCTTGTTTTTTATTCTATAGTATATTCTGGCAATGTTTTTAAGTAATTATATATAGAGACTTCTCATTTTGTTCACTCCCAAATACATACAGAGCCATGATCTCAATCTTTTCAAAGGTTAGCAGTTATTTATGTTTCTAAAATCTTTTCCTTTCACCATAACTAGTATTGGTTAAAATWACCTTACTTGTAACTTTTTTTATGAAAGATAGTCTCCAGGCTATAATAAAAGAAATATGATCAACTATACCTAAACTACACTTTCTTTATTAAAACATTTAATATATTTTAAGTCATTCCTTATATTACTATTATCACACTTCCAATCTGTGGGTGGTATACATCTTTTATATTTTAAACTATCTTTGAGTGTGCTGTTGGTTTTATATTTAATTTTAATAATTCTTTAATAGTGTCTGATTTTTCTATACTCCTGTCCAATGAATAAATATTCTGATTTCATACCTTTCTCTACATTTGAAGCAGGTTTCTTCAGTTTGGGGTAGAATTTCATTCCTTTTTGGTTTGTTTTCAGGTGTTAGTCTCTCTGCTTCTAGCTCTAAGTCACACACCCTGATGTCTGTTCAGGTAGACTTTATAAAACAATATCTAGATAAGGTTATCTCCAGGACTGAGGATATGGCTCAGTTGGTAGARTGCTTGCCTTGCATGTACAAGGCCCTGGGTTCAATCCCTAGCACCATAAAAAAAAAATTTATCTCCAAACTCTTCTTAAAAACTTTAGTATATTTTTAGTGTAGAACATGATGCATTGAAATATTCACACAAAACAAATTAGCATATACATTAACTCACCTTTTTTTGTAGTGTGAACACTTCAAATTTACACTCTTAGCAATTTTAAGGTGTGCAGTACATTGTTTTTAGCTATATTCATCATGTTGTACAATAGAGTTCTTTGACTGTCCTTCCCGTTGAACTGAAATTTTGATTTCTTTGACCAGTATCTCCTCAGTCATCTAACCCCAGGTAACTGCTACTCTGCTCTCTGTTTCTATGAGTTAAACTTTTTAGATTCTACATATAAGTGAGATCACATGATGTTTATCTTTCTGTACTTGGCTTCTTTCATTTAATAATATCTTTCAGGTTCATACATGTTGTTACAATGACATACATGATTTCTTTCTGTTTTTTTTAAAGAATTAATATCTTTTCATTATATCACATTTTCTTTTTCCATTCATCTGGATAAAGAAACTTAAGACATTAAGTTGACTTGATATCTTGGCTATTGTGAATATTGCTTCAATAATCATGGGACTACAATGAGATAATTCATTGACATACTGATTTCCTTTTCTTTGTACGTATACCCAGTATTTAGATTGCTGGATCATATGGTAGTTCTATTTTTAAGTTTTTAACATATGTTTTCCATATTCTATTTTCGATAATAGCTGTTCCACTCTGAGGATAACTTAATTCATAGCTAATGGGACAGGAATAAAGCCCAGGTTATCTGCTCCCAGGACTTAGGCTCTTAATTCTTAAGCTATACTGCCTTGTAAAATATAGCAATCCAATAAAATAATATGGAGTTCGAACTATTTTTTGAAGAAATAATGTTCTGTCAGCAAGTATTAGGGAGTGTGTATATATTGGACAGAACCTTGGAAAGGAAAAACTATTTTGTATGTTCAACAAAGTGGGATCCCCAAAATRCAGCATTGTTTATCTTTCATTAATTTAATGCTGTGAAAACATAATAAAAGGCTGTTTAAAAATATAGCTGTTCTAGATCAGAAGAGATTATTTATTTCATTTGGTTTCTAACAATCCCAAAGATATTTCACAGAACATTCAAGTTACTTAAAAAAATTATTTTTTCCTGATCTAACGACAGGTTAGTTAAAACTTATCTAGGATATGAAGAGTAAGACAACAGTTTTAGGCAGAATYGAGAGGTCTACATATATGTGTCAGATATCAGAGTAATGGCTTGGATTCAAATGGGCTTGAAGAATATGAACTCTTAAATTAAAGTTAAGCAGGCAAAAATCCAAAGGCTGGGATAGTTTGAAGAATGACATTGTTGAACAGGAACTAAAGTGAACTTAATCCTGTGATACAAGCTGTTTTCTAAGTAGAAATCACAGTCAGAACATCTAAAATTACTAGTTTTTTTTTTCTTGCAGTAGTTATAGAGGAACAGATTTGAACTTTGATCAACATGTCCTATCATCACAAATCCATAGACATATTAACAGTTACTATCACTTTCTGTGTTTGAACAAAAGTGGCAAATTAAATATGAAGGTAGATTCAGAATAATGAAATTTTGGTTGGGATTATGGTTTCAACAAAAATATTCACTGGAAAGAGAAAGAAGTTAAATTTGACTCTTTTAAAAATCAATTTTCTTTCATGTTATTTTTCATTTGTTTGTTGATATAAAGGAGGAAAAACAAGAGACTCAATTGAGCAGTAAAAAAAAAAAAATAGGAAGGAAGTAGGGCCAAGAAAGGAAGAATTTGCCTGAATCCTTTAAAAATATTTAGCCAAGCTGGGTGTGATGCTGCATGCCTCTAATCCCAGTGACTCCAGAGGCTGAGGCAGGAGGATTACAAATTCAAGACCAGCCTCAGCAACTTAGCAAGGTCCTCATCAACTTAGTGAGGCCCTGTCTCAAAAAATAAAAAGAACTAGGGATGTAGTTCAGTGGTCAAGTGCCTCTGGGTTCAATCCCAAGCATAAATAAATAAAATGTAGCCAATATTATTATCAGGTCTATAATCTAGTTTATATTTTATGTCTTATAATATATAACATTACACAGTACTAACACTTCTTTTTTTCTCAAAATGTTTTAAAATTATTTTTCTGTCTAAAATGATTTTTCTCTTCATAGCTTGGTTCTATAGTTGTAGCCTTTCAAATTATATCCTAGTTTGACTCTACATATTTATCACAATGAAATGTATAGCAATAAATATGATTGGGTATGTGTATACATACAAACATATATATTCGCATACACATGTAATTCTCTAATATATATCTACAGTGTATATGATCTTATAAGATTATATACTTTGAAAATATCATAATGACTTCATTGTGTGTGTCTACAGATGCATACTGAGTCTTACATTATGAAGATTATTATATAATTTCATTTTATATTGAGTTCTTCAGTTCTCTGAAGAACTCAATATAAAATGAAATTATATATGAAGAACTGAAGAAAGAGTATTTTATACTCTTTCTTTAGTTACCACTTAGACCTCACCTTGGGAAAGATTTTTCTCTTGATGTAGTTTGATAAAGGACCCTATAGCAGCTTACCCTTGAACTTTTCTTCATAGGCTATAGATTATCATGACTTCTGTTATCTAAAGACATATATTTATATAACATTAAAAATACCATGTCAAGTTCCAATAGCTGAAAATAGCTGGAAGTTATAATAGATCAACTGAAAGATGGAGTTTTACATTTTAAATGAATAATTAAAATTCAGAATTTTCTTTGATATGTTAGTGGTAAAGTTAATTAGAGTTTATGACTTACAGTGAAACATAATGAAAATAATATTGATTTAGGTATTATAAGAACAGAATACTTGTCTGAACTTCACACAGTTTATTTGCTCTGTGACCTCAGCTTCACTCATCGTCACCTGAAATGTGTAACTAATAATGCCTTTGCTGCCCACCTCCTCAGAGTGTGATCAAGATGAGATGATATATATGAAAATACTGTTAGTGCCGTCTAAAATGTTATGGCTATAATAACAGTCAATATGTGTCATTGTATGAAGCATTATTGTCATTCATCTGACAGTTTATGATGCAAACAATGTTAATATTACAGTTTTACACACATGGAAGTTGAGGCTCAGAGAGCACAAGACACGTTGGTGAGTGAGAAAGGCATGATTTGAATCCAGGCCTGTTTGACATTAGAACTAATGCTCACAATCACATCATATCACATCACATTCATCTGAAGAATAATTGATGCAAAGTCTTACATGTAAACAAGCAAAAATGGAGTTTTTTCATTATTATTACATCTGAATTCTAAATGTGAAAGCAAAGTAATATTTGTTTTTCATGAAAATCTAATGCCATTGAGTTCCAACCTTCCAATTGTGTTCTTCTCTTAGAATTTAATTGTCCTGAACCCACTCACAGTGACGGAAGAGGAAATAAGACCATCACTAGAAAAACGCCTTGAAGCCATCATCAGTGGGGCTGCTCTGTTGGCAGACTCTTCATGTACAAGGGATTTCCACCGGGAGCGGATTATTGCAGAATGCAACGCCATTCGCCAGGCTCTTCAGGACCTGCTTTCAGAGTACATGAACAATGTAGGTGACGAGTTTGTCTACATACCTGTCCCCATTTCCCTATTTGAGTATATGCTGAGAGATGCTTTCAGAAGATGATTAATTATGAATTAGTACGTGATTTTCATGGGTTGGCTTTCTAAGCAGATTTTGCTTGTTTGGTCACAAGGAACTGTAACCCTGGGAGTTTTCTAGGGATGAAATCAGAATCAGAATGACATTTACATGTGATTTTTTTTATTTGTGGAAGTATCTAAATTTTAGTTAAATAAGAGTAAGGATAAGAGAAAAGAAACTTAAGTCTGTACATTAATTTAAGGGATAAAAAGAAAATAAAGAAGGTGGCAGATTGCTCAGTATTAAGTTGGTGGATAACAAAATGGCGTTAGAGTTCAGAATTTAGATAGTATTGGATAACAGTCAATATTGCAGTGAGCATTGACCATGAACCATATTTGAAGGTGTAATTAGCCCATGGAGTTTGGAGAGTTCTTTTTAGTTTTATATGCTCAAAAATATTGATGCCTAAATTTAGGAAAATATTTGCTTCAAGATCTTTTTAGTTTCCTTTTATATGTAGGTATCTCTCTCCACCTATGGAATGTCTATAAATGTTGTTTCCATTAATTATCAGTGCTATTTGCAAAATGAACACAAAAATATTGAATATAGTGTTTGCTGAACAGTTAGTTATCTTCCCTTAACCAAGGTTTCTCTTTCTGTGGTTTCACTTACTCATGGTCAATTGTAGTCTGAAAACATTWAATGGAAATTTCCAAAAATGATAAGTTTTAAATAACTTCAATTATAGTATATTTTACAGTGATTTCATCATTAATTATTAGTTAATCTCATACTATGCCTAGTTCATGAATTATACTTTATCACAGGTATATATGTAGAGGAAATACAGTAAATATAGTTTCAGTATTGTATTTGCAGATATTCACTGTGGATCTTGGAATGTATTCCCAGCAAATAAGAGGGTACTACTATATATTAATCATAAAACTTTTTAAAAACAGAACCATAGAGTTATATTAGGAATAACTTGTATGCCTTATTTTAAGTGACATAATTCAAGGTTCATGAAKATGTGATTTGAGAATTATTAGTCACAAAGGATATGACTTTTTGGTTATGAAATTAAAGATTTGTAATTGTTCAGTATAAGTATTTTTATATGAATAATTGAAATGTGCTAAAATTAGTTAATAAGTTTTGAGGACACTTCAACACATTTGATGCATCTTCATGTTCTTAATATTTGATRACTACTTTGGCTTCTGACCAAAATTTTCTTGACTGTCAAGAAATCAGAGTTGTAAAGCAGATTTTGTTAATAAAAAGCACATATTAGTAATGTCATGTCCTGCTAGAATGTCTGAAGTTAAACTATTCCAATTTTTAACATATAAAATATTCTTATTTAAATGTTTTTCAAGTCAAGTCATCAGTCACAAGAAATTCAGGAGGTAATATTGTATTGGAAAGCCTGGTCTGTAAGGTATTAAAATTATTATTCTCACCTTTATAGAGAAATACATATATATATATATGTATTTATATATAAATTTATAAATTATAGATAAATCCACTTTATCTAAAATATAGTTATTTTGTTCTTTACAGATACAAACACAGACACATGTGTGCACACTTACCCACATTAGTAGAAATTGTTGCATAAGTATCAGATGAAAATGAGAACATTCATATTAAAAAGAGAAAGAAAAAAGAAAATAAACTTTYTTTTACTTCCACAGTGTCTCTTGACCTGGAAAATATTGTTTTTATTTGCCATTTAACATTATGTTTCCTAGAGTATATGGGTAGTTATGAGGTGAAGACAGACTATCACAGGTCTTTTTGGTCCTGCCCCATGGCCCTGATATACTCTRAGGTTAGCCAAGGCCTCCCCCAGGAGAGGAGGATGGCAGTAATTCCTGGGCAGATAAGGTGTTTGAGAATCTGTCTAAGGAAGTCACTGGAGGCAGGACTGCATGTGAGCCTATACAGGTGCTTCCTATCCCACTGGAATATACAAATTCAAAGGTAAAATTAAGAATCTCAAGACTGAGAACAGAGCATTGAAATCCATGCCTGGGACATCCTTCTATACATGGGGCTTTGTGCACAGTCGCAACCTTTTAAAGTTGGCCTTGTACCTAATAAACATTTGCCATGTAGATTTATGGCTTTCTCTAACTTCCAGTTAAAAACTATGCATAGCAAGGGTGAAGTGATGGAAGCATTCAGCCCTGGGTGTAATCATTGAGAAAGTGCATTGTCATGTATAGAAATTTATGAATAATAATAAAAACCAACTAAGTCAACTCTGCTTTTTTAATTGTTCCCGAGCACTAGCMATTCTAAATATCAGTCATAATGTTTTTTAATAAAATTCTTTTATTTTTCTAAGTTATAAACAATTGTGTCTATTGTTGAGTTTTAACAATATATATAATTCAAATTAGAACATCTTTAAATATTATCTTTCATAATCATTGTATTTTTTTTTTTTAGTTGTAGGTGGACATAATACCTTTATTTTGTTTATTTATATGTAGTCCCGGGGCCTCACATGTGCTAGGCTAGCGCTCTACTGCTGAGCCACGACACCAGCTCATCATTGTGTTCTTTATAAATAGAGTAGATTTAAACTGATTACACAGTGATTGTAAGACAAATAGCTAGAAATTGAGTCACTTCAATTCCTATGATTTTATGTGTTCATTTGGAGTTCTGAATTTAAAAATTTTAAAAAATTATGGTGAAAAAGTGTGAACTGTAATTATGATAATTATGGAGAGAAGGTGAGGCTAGTCAATGCAAATTTATTTCATACATGAAGTATTTGAATCTGAACAACTTCTAAATTTATTATTCTTTTGAAAATTATTAATTGSTTTAAATAACATATCAAGAAAGTGATGATTATTACTGAAAAATAATTTTGTCATAGAGAGAGAAAGAGGTTTTTAAAATGTTTAGGTATCAAGTATACTAAGTAAGCCACTGATTTTTCTATTCATTGCTATTCTTTTTTCATAGCAAGGATTAAACCTTGTCAAGTACACAAAACTTATTATGTTGCTAATATCTTATGTTAGATATTTTGATTTCTAAACCAGGTAATTTCTACATTTGAGGTGGAAAAGAGATTTTTTTCATTTATAATGTTAAAAATATTTGAGAAAGAATATAAATACTATTTTCTTTTTATARCTTGTTTAGATGATTAACTCAATTTTTACTTTTTAGAATAGTCTTGGTTATAGGAATCCAATTAATTAAATTATAGTACTATTAATCTTTGATGAAGGATTTCTTCTTCCTCCATCCCCAACTTTCCCTTTTCTTCCCTTCTAAAAAAAAGTACAGACTCACTGAAATACCTCTCCCTTGTGGTCCTTGCCCCTTCTTATCTATCCCATTTGGAATTTCTGTGTATTTGTCTGCCTTCCCCACTAGATAGGAGGTCTAGAAGAGTGGAAATATATCTCAGGCCATTAGTACAAAGTCTTTCAGATACTCATTAATTTTAATTTGGATCCAGGAAAATTAAATTTAATGATTCCTTCTTCTTAGTTTTTAAAATTAAAATGACAATGTGCCCAAAGCAATTAATTAATATTTATTTTTCATATCTATATGATAATTATGGAAAGAAGGTGAGGTTGGTTAATGGTGAGAACAGGAAYGTAGGAAAGGAAGAACACAGAAGCAAGGGAGCTTGTTCTTTGGGGGATCTTAGGTACAGTGTATGTCTTCTGTTCTCTTGGGCATAATGGTAATGCTTTCTGTAGAAGGCATAGTGTGTCAGAAAATGAAAACCCTATTTTGTGTGGTAATGTCAGGTGATCTGTACTGATATTGATGATAGAGGTCAGAGCAGTAGAGTAGTAGCTGAATTTATGTAATGGTGATTTATATAGGTGGAAACCCTTTTATGTAYAGTAATGTTTTGTTGATAAGTATAAGGTATTACTAGTAAAAATATGAATGTATAGTATTGGAAAATAGCTATTCCCCAAACAGCGTAATAATTGTTTTTCAAATAAAAGGGCAAATGTGACTGAGGCAAAAAAAAAAAAAAAAAGCAACAGGAACAAATCTGGAAAACTGTAGGGTATTATCAGAACTTATTCCAAGTTTTGTTTTTGGTCCAGGTTTACATCAAATATTATGCTTCTTTTAATCTGTCATCAGTTTTTATCAAAGGGAATATACTTTCTTGGAACTAGTTGAACTCAAACCTTGTTCAGAATTAGCTCAAATACTTTAGGAGAACCCAAGTACTTAAAGTGAGTGACATCCTAGTTAAAGGAATATTGTATCTTCTTTGGTGGACCAAATTTGCCTTTCAGGTCAGTAGCTTTTGTAATTGTGCTATATTGATAGAGTAAATACTTAAAGATGTTTTGGATAAAATAAAGACAACTATAGAAACTTAAAGTATGATTAATATTCATAGAAGGGGCTGTGGCTGTGACTCAGTGGTTAGGGCGCTCACCTCACACATGCAAGGTCCTGGGTTCCATCATCAGCACCACATAAAAATAAATGAATGAATGAATAAATGAATGAATGAATGAATGAATGAATAAATGAATGAATGAATGAATAAATAAATAATTAATTAAATGTATTGTGTTCAACTACAACTACAAAAAATATTAAAAATACTATTTAAAAAATATATTATAGAAATCTGTGGATCTCTTAGATGAATGTGACTTCAAGGCTTGATTTCATATTTTATGTGTGTTGAGTTTAGAACAGGTTGGCAGTGGGATGTGAATGCAGTTTATATTTGTTTTGGGCTCAAAACATCATCACCACATGATTCATTTGAGTCTAAATAAATTTACTTCCTTAAACAGAACAGCAAGGCTCTATAATTTTTTTAACTTAATTGCTATGTTAAATAAGTTTAATGGTTTTTCACATTTGGAATAAATTAATAATCGATAAATGCATAGTTATAGTAAGAGATAGATAAACATAAAATTTATTTT